TCCCAACCTCAGGCGACTGTGTGAACCTCAGGAGGTTGTGTGACCAGAGCAGAAAGGTAGAGAGGTAAGAGATGCCACACTGTACACCTTCTCCTGTCACCCTTTCCTCAGCCACCTGACTGTGGGGCCAGAGGGTGCTCTGCAGGGAAAGGACGGGGGTGAGCCTACTGTCTCCCGGGCTCAGGCCCCAGAAATCACTGCAGAAGGCTGCACGGGTGAGCTGGCTCTGACAGCTGCAAATGGCTTTGCAGGAAATGCAGGTGCCCAGGAGGGGATCCCAGTACTGCCCTTCAGGGCAGGATCTCATAGCCGGCCCTGTCCACAGGCCCTGTGGAGCTGAGAGACCAGCAGTGTGAGCACAGCTGGTAGGCAGCCACAGCCTGGCCTCTTGCTCCTGATGAAAACCCAGGAGGCCTCTCCTGCCCACAATCCCACGGACATCCTTTCTGTCTCAGGAGCAGAGAGGGCAGACAAAGCTGGCTTCCAACCCCCACTGCACTTACTGGGGGCCTGGGGCAGCCACCTCCCCTCTCCAGCCTCAGTTTCCCCGTCTGCACATGGTTGTTTTCAGGCCCCCTGCTCTCTCACATCAGCAGTGCCCTGCTGGGCTTCGCTCCCTGCCCTCCTTAACATGCCATGCCTCTCCCTGGCTCAGTCTTTGCACATGCTGTTCCCTTGCGTGACGTGCCCTCCTCCCCCTCAGCTGCATAGCCCTCCTCAGCCGGAGACCTCTGTCTACACCTGATCTCTCAGGGAAGCGTTTCTGACTCGCCCCCTAGACTAGGACACAGTCCTTCTTCCGCACACTGGCACTGCCCTTCACTTGTCATCGTGGTCATTTTTCTTCCATGCGTGTGGTTATTTGATGCTGGCTCCAACACTAACTGTGAGCGCCATCTGGCAGGGACTGTGCCTAATTGTTTTTGTTCATCGCTGAGTCCTCAGAACCTAGATAGTACTTAGGACATAGTAGGTGCTCACGAAATGAATGAATTTTTAAAAGCAGACCAAGTCAGGCTCTAGTACACAGCAAGAACCAAGACATATCAATTTCCTTCTGATTTTCTTTCTTTTTTTTTTTTTAACTGAAGTATAAAACAACCACAACAGTGTGTGTAAGGTGCACAAAAAGCTGAACAATACAGCTTGGTGGAATTTAATGTATGTATGCATCTGTGTCATTATAGCCCACAATGAGATGTAGAACGTTTTCTGTTCCCCTGAGGACTCCCTGGGGTTTCCTCCCACCCAATGCCCACTCCTAGAGGTGGCTACTGTTCTGTTGTTACCCCCATAGGTTAATATTGCCCCTTCTGGAACCTCCATGTGTGGTTTTGCCTCTCCACGTGGTGCCTGAGACTCATTCATGTGGGTGTTCTCTGTGTGTCTGGCTTTGTGTTACTGCGAGTCTTCCACTATGTGCATGCATTACTTCTGTTTTTCTGATTTCATGACCTTTGCTTCCACCAATAACTTCTCCTTAAAAATGTTTAAAAGCATTTTGCAAGGCATGTGTTTATTCTTTAATGAAAGCAAGCTGAGGGAAGACCAGAGGTGGCTGGGCACCATGGCCCACGCCTGTAACCCCAGCACTTTGGGAGGTTGAGGTGGGAGGATTCCCTGAGGCCAGGAGTTCAAGACCAGCCTGAGAAACATAGTGAGCCCCTGTCTCTACAAAAAGATTTAAAAATTAGCTAGGTGCTATAGTCCCAGCTATTCAGGAGGCTGAGACAGGGAGATCACTTGAACCTGGGAGTTCAAGGTTGAGATGAGCTATGACCACATCACTGCATTCCAGCCTGGATAACAGAGTGAGATCCACTCTCTAAAAAAGAAAAAGAGAAAAGATCAGGGGTCCCCCATTTAACACGGCAGCTTAAACACAGCGGTTTATCTTCCTTCCCTCCCAAAACCATGCTAAGCTGACAGTCAAGTGCGATTGTCTTCAGAGATAAAGGGAATGGCAGAGGTTTCTACAGCAGGGAACGCATGTCTCTAACATTCTGGGAGTTGGAAGCACTGGAGTGCCTGACTGCCTTTGAGGATCCCATCCTTGATGCCTACAGGGGAAGGAAGTTGTTCTGAGTCACAGAACTCAAGGCAGTCTCCAGAATTGGAGGCACCAAGTCTCTCTGACAGTAGCAGCTGGGCAGGAGGCGGGAAGCTCTGAAAGAGGATTGGTTGGAAACTTACATGAAGAGTGTGTGACCCCAGCACATCCCCATTCCAAGGCTGAGGCCAGTTCCTCACCCACCCAGGCATGAGTGGGGTCTTCTTGGACACGGCTGAGGGTAGAAACATGGTCTTTCCTGGCAACAGGGGAATGGTGAGAATATTCTTCCTGGACACTCAGTCTCCCCTCTCGTTATCCACCCCAGTTTCTATCCAAAGAGTGCAGCAGCCAGGTTTTTAAAGATGCCTCCCTCCCTACCCTGCAACTGGCAGGAAATCAGAAGTCTCTGCTCTGGGAAAACAGACCCAAAGGAAAAGAGCCAGAGACACTGACAGCGGGAGAGTCTCTCAGGAAAATATCCAAGTCCCTGCCTGATCCCACTGGAGCAAAGCTTCTACATCAACCAGCCCATTTTATGGGCTCCAGGCAGCGGTCAGTGCCTGTCTGACTTCTGAACTAACAGCCAAAGGTCACCTGATATGGGAGCACCGCCTCTAGCACAAAAGTAAACTCAAACCACACAGAAGACAAACACCTGGAGCCTATGAAGACATGCAGGAAACCAAAGAACATTTTACAACAGCAGCAGCAGCAGCTGAGATCCCCAGAAATATGAGAGGATTGTGTATCTACGGAACGAAACGGTGGACTATTTGTAAAGGACACTCATAGGACAAATGAGAATTGTTAGAATTAGAATTTATAGCCAGAATAAAAACATTAGTAGAAGGGCTAGGAGATGTAATGAAATAAATTGTCTGGAAAATAGGAGAAAAAAGATATACAATTATGGATCATTTCAGGAGCTCCGAAGGCTGATTAATGATTTGAAGGACACTGGCTCTAGATTGGAAGAGTCAATCAAGCATCAGTGCAGTCTGGTCACAAAAACTAGGAAACATTATCATGCGATTTAGGAGCACCAGCGATTATGAGCAGATTCTGAAACCTTCCTAAGAACAAGCAGGTTACCCATAAAACTCTGTTAGTTATGAAGTCAAGACATCTCGGAAGCAATCCTGGGATGTGAGGAGTGACATGGAGGAAGGCAGTGGAGTAGCAAGCTCTGGGAATCTGTGCCTCCTGCTCAACAACTGTGGAGCCGGCAGCCACTGCCTGAAGTCACTATTTGGGAGCTCTGGAGTTGTCCAGAGGAGAGCTTGATGGTAAATTTTAGGAATGTCAGCCTATGACATGGCAGTGGCTACTAGTGCCACTGCCTGGAGCCAGGACGAGTAAGAAAGACCCTTGTCCTCCAAATACTGGGGCTGTGGGTTCTGATTGCTGACAGCTGCCTGTGACCACTGAGGGGTCAGCATAGATGACATTGTTTCAACCCCCAAGGGCTCAAGTGGCTTCCAGGGGATTTAAAGAGACAGTACCCTTCTCTGGCCTGGGAGCCAGGCACTTAAGGAAATCCTTGTCAGGCCACTGGTTGACCGCACAGATAAAGAACAAAAACTACACGCAACATAAGGAACAAAAACTACACGCAACATAATGAACAAAAACTACACGCATCAGTGACTACACGCAACAAGAAATACATGCTGTGCAAACAAATTAAAGTTGGGGAAAAATAAGGCTTAAAACTGAAACTTTGGAAAAGTCACAAACAGATGGCTTCTGCCCTTAACAGGCAAGGTTCAGCAATCCTTGAGGAGTGGTAAGGTTAGATTTCCAGTCACCACAATATAACCCCTCAAAATGTCCAGGTCTCAAAAACATGACAAAGCATACAAAGCAGCAGCAGCTTTGCCAATTTACAGGGAATACAGACTATGACAGAAACCATTTCCAGGGAAGTCTACGTATTGGAATTACTAGTCAAAGGTGTTAAATCAAGATTTATCTTAAATATGTTAATGAGCTTAAGGAAACCATAGACAAAGAACTAAATGGATCAGGAAATGTTATATGAACATAATGAGCACATGGTAAAGAGACAGAAGTGGTAAAAAAGGAACCAAGAGATCGAGACCATCCTGGTCAACATGGTGAAACCCCGTCTCTACTAAAAATACAAAAAATTAGCTGGGCGTGGTGGCGTGTGCCTGTAATCCCAGCTACTCAGGAGGCTGAGGCAGGAGAATTGCCTGAACCCGGGAGGCGGAGGTTGCGGTGAGCCGAGATCGCGCCATTGCACTCCAGCCTGGGTAACAAGAGCGAAACTCCGTCTCAAAAAAAAAAAAAAAGGAACCAAAACTTGGAAGCAACCAAAATGTGCTTCAGTAGGTAAATGTGTAAATAAAGTGTGGTATATTCAAACAATGGACTGTTATTCCGTGCTGAAGAATGAGCTATCAAGGCGTGAGAAGACATGGAGTAACCTTAAATGCATGCCACTAAGTGAGAGGAAAAAAAAGCAAAAAAGTCTTTGGTTGACCGCAGAGATAAAAGAAGTTGATAAAAGTTGATTGCAACTCCATGACATTCGGGAAAAGTCAAAAACGATGGAGACAGTAAAACGATCGGTGCTTCCCGTGGGTTGGAGAATGGGAGGGATGCGTAGGTGGAGCACAGAGGATTTTTAAGGCAGTGAAGCCATTCTGTAATGTACTCCAAGGGTGGACACATGTCTGTGGACATTTGTTCAAACCCAGGTATACTACGAGAGTGAACCCTAATGTAAACTATGGACTTTAAATGGTAATGATGTGTCAGTGTAGGTTCACTGATTGTAACAAATGCACCATCTGGTTGAGGATGTTTATAGTCAAGGAGGTTGTGCAGGGGTGTGTGGACAGGGGGTGTAGGAACTGTCTGTACTTTTGATAACTTTTTCTTTGAGCCTAAGAATGGTCTAAAAGTAGTCTCTCTCTCTCTCTCTCTCTCTCTCTCTCTCTCTCTCTCTCTCTCTTTTAAAGAACCATACAGAAGTTCTGGAATGGAAAAGTCCAAAAAGTAAAATACAAACCTTAATGGAAGGGGTTTACCAGCAAACTTAAACAAGCAGAAGAAGGGATGGGTGAACTTAAGACAATTAAAATAATTGTCCATGTAGCAAAAATGAAAAAAGATTGAGGAAAATTGAACAGAGCCAAATGTACTAACATTGCTCACAAAAGTTACAGAAGGAGAAGAGACTAAATGGAAGAAAAGGTGTTTGAAGGAATAATGGCTCCAAACTTCCCAACTCTGAGAAAACATGAATATACTCATTCGGGAATCTCAATAAATTAGATGCAGGAAAACCTCAAAGAACTCACATCAACACATATTACAAAAAATTGAGGAAACCCAAGGACAGAGAGAATGGTGAAAGCAGCAGGACAGAAGCAATTTCTCATGTGCAAAAGAGCCTCGATATGGTAACAGCTGATTTCTCCTGAGAAACTGTGGCAGCCAGAAGGTAGTGGAATGACATATTCAAAATCCTAAAAGAAAAAAATAAGCTGTCAACCAGGAATTGTGTGTACTTTTAAATAACCTTTTAATAATGAGGACAAAATTAAGACCTTTCCAGATAAACAAAAACCTGAGCAGTGCATTATCAGCAGATTGCCCTACAGGAAATGCTAAAGGGAGTCTTTCATGCTGACATGAAAGTACTCTAGTCAGTACCTTGAAGCCATATGAAGAATAAAAAACAATGGTAGAGATAACTAATAAAGTAAATATAAAAGCCAGAATTATTTTACTTTTTTCGCGGTTTGTAACTCCTATTTTTTTTCCTGCGTGATTTATTAGGCAATGACTAAAACAGTGATTATAAACCTGTGTTACGGCCGGGCGCGGTGGCTCAAGCCTGTAATCCCAGCACTTTGGGAGGCCGAGGCGGGTGGATCACGAGGTCAAGAGATCGAGACCATCCTGGTCAACATGGTGAAACCCCGTCTCTACTAAAAATACAAAAAATTAGCTGGGCATGGTGGCGCGTGCCTGTAATCCCAGCTACTCGGGAGGCTGGGGCAGGAGAATTGCCTGAACCCAGGAGGCGGAGGTTGCGGTGAGCCGAGATCGCGCCATTGCACTCCAGCCTGGGTAACAAGAGCGAAACTCCGTCTCAAAAAAAAAAAAAAAAAAAAAACCTGTGTTAGCGGTCAGAGAGTGCGAAGATGCAATATGTGACAATAACAATAGAAAGGAAAGGGCAGGGACATAGAGGGACAAAGCTCTTACGCCCTACCGAAACTAAGTTGGTATTATTCAAACTAGGGTGTCGTAAGTTTAAGGTATTAATTATAACCCCCAAGAAAATAACTAAAATATATACAGAAAAAGAAAGGAAAGGGGACTTAAAGTGGCCCACTATAAAAAAATCAACAAAACACAAACATGGAGTAACTGAAGAAAGAAAAAACATATGACATACAGAAAACAAATATCTCAATGGCTGAAGTAAATCTTTACCAATAATCACATTAAATGTAAATGAACTAAACCCCGCTAGTTAAAAAGAAATTGGGAGATTGGATTTAAAAACCCACAGGCTTCACGTATATTCTGTGTATAAGAGACTTACTTTAGATTTAAAAAATACAAATGGGTTGAAAGAAAAAGGATGGAAAAAGGTATTTCATGCAAATAGTAACCAAGAGTTGGGGCAGCTGTGTTATTGTCAGATAAAATAGACTTTAAATCACAAAAAGGTTACAAAAGACAAAGGAAGACAATATATATTAATAAAGGAGATACAGCATGAAGATGTAACAATTATAACAAAAAATTGAGGAAACACCTAATGACAGGGCCCCAAAAGATATGAAAAAAAATTGGCAGAATTGACGGGAGAGATAGATAGTCCTACACTAGTACTGGGATATTTCAGTACCTCACTTTCAATAATAAGACAGAACAATCAGACAGATAAATAAGAAAATAGAGGACGTACGTAACAGGCATATAGACAACACTTAAGGCAACAACGGTGGAATACACATTCTTTTCAAGTGCGCATCGAACATTCTCCAGGATAGATTATCAGCCACAAAATAAGGCTAAAATTTAAAATGTTTTAATTTTTAAAAATTAAAATTATTCAAAATTTCTTTTCTGATCATAATGGTATAAAACTACATGTCAATAACAGAAGGAAAACTGGAAAATTCACAAACATGTAGAAATTAAACAACACACTCTTTAACAAGTTTAGTTGTTAAGAAGAAATGACAAGGGAAGTTATAAAATATTTTGAGACAAATGAAGAAAATGCAACATAGCAAAAGTTATGAAATACAACAAAAGGAATGCAAAGGGGGAGATTTATGTAAATGCATACACTGAAAAAGAAGAATCATACCTGATCGTAACTAAATCATAACCTCTTATACACCTTGAGGAAATAAAAATAGAAAAGCAAACCAAATCCAAAAATAACCGAAGGGAAGAAATAATGAAGACTAGAGCAGAGATCGATAACACAGAGAATGAAAAAGCAATAGAGAAAAATCACCAAAACCAAAAGCTGGCTCTTTGAAAAGATCAGCAAAATTAACAAACCTTTAGGTGGACTGACTATGGAAAAGAGAGATGACTCGTATTATTAAAATCAGAAATGACATTGAGAACATTATTACTTATTTTACAGAAATAAAGAGGGTTGTAAAATAATACTATGAACAATGATACACCAATAAATTGGATAACCTAGGTAAAATGGACATATTCTTAGAAACACACAATCTACCAAAACTGACAAATGAAGAAATAGAAAATTTGAATACTCCTATAACTAGTGCGGAGACGGAGTCAGTAATCAGAAGCCTATCAGTGACAAGCTGAGGACAAGATTGCTTTACTAGTGAATTCTACCAAAACATTTAAAGAAGAATGAACACTAATTCTTCTGAAACTCTTCCCAAAAATCAAAGAGGAAGGAACACTTCCTAACTCATTCATGAAGTCAGCATTACACTAATACCAAATCACAATAAGGATGTCACAAGGAAAGAAAATTACACACCAATATGCCATATGTATACAAATTGAACACAATGGCACCTTAAATGTTTACTCACCATAACCAAGTGGGATTTATTTTCGGAGTGCAATGGTAGTTCAACATAAATTTTATCAACCAGTAAAATGCACTGCCCTAAATGAACGAATACCAAAACTACATGACCATCTCAATTGATGCAGAAAAAGCACTTTATTAAATCCAACTTTTTTTTTTAATGATAAAAACACTTAAGAAACTAGGGAATACAGAGTAACTTCCCTATCATGATAAAGGCCATATTTGAGAATCCCATGGCTAACAATATTCTCAGTGGTGAAAGTGAAAGCTTTCCCCTAAGATCAGGAATAAGACCGGGATACACATATTTGCCACTTCTCTTCCACATAGCACTGGGAGTACTAGCCAGAGCACTTAGGCAAGAAAAAGAAATAAAGGTATCCACAGTGGAAAGGAGAGCATAAGATTATCTCTGTTCACAGATAACCCAATCTTATATGTAGAAAACACTAACAATTCCATTAAATGGGGAAAAGGACAGTCTTTTCAACAAACGATGCTGGGAAAACTGGACATTCTCACGCAAGAGAATGAAGTTGAACCCTTACCTAACACCATATGCAAAATTTATCTCAAAATGGACTAAGGGCTAAAACTATAAAACTTTTAGAAGAAAACATAGAGGGAAATCTTCATGTGCTAAATTTGGCAATGATACCTTAGATATGGCAGCAAAGGCATAGGTAATGAAAGGAATTAGATAAATAGGACTTCATCAAAATGTAAAACTTTTGTGCATCAAAGGACACTATTGAGAGAGTGAAAAGACAACTCACGGAATGGGAGAAAATATATGCAAATCACATATCTGATAAGGGATTAATATCCAGAGTATGTAAAGAACTCCTAAAACTCAACAACAAAAAAACCAAACAACTCAAGTCGAAACTGAGCAAAAGGCTTGAATCAGCATTTCTTCAAATAAAGCATTCAAGTGGTCAATCAGCACATGAAAAGATGCTCAATCTCATCATTCATTAGGGAAATGCAAATCAAAATGACAATGAGATATTTCACGCCCATTAGGATGGCTATTATAAAAAAATGGAAAATAACCAGTGCTGGAGATGCGAAGAATGGACTTGGAGGCACTGCTCATGGGAATGTGTAACAGTGCGACAGCTGTGGAAAAGCCTGGTAGTGCCTCAAAAAGTCAAACATAAAACTGCCACATGACCCAGTAATTCCACTCCTAAGTAAACATCCGAAAGAGCTGAAACACTGATGCAAACAGATACTTTTGCCTCAACACTCAGAGCAGAATATTCACAATAGCCAAAGGTGGAAACAGCCCAATTGTTTATCAGCACATGAATGAATAAACAAAATGTGTTCTAGGTACACAGCAGATGCTATGATGTTATTAAAATGCATGGAATACTTATACATGCCGCAATGTGGATAAACTCTGAAGATACTAGCTAAATGAAATAAGACAGTCATATAGAGACAAATATTGTACAATTCTGCTTCCATGAGAGAAGTAGAGGAGGCAAATTCATAGAGTGAGAGAATAGAATAGAGGTTAGCCCAAGCAGGAGTTATTGATTAATGGGTACAGAATTTCTGTCTGGGTCTATAAAAAAAGTTTTGGTTATAGATAGTTGTGTTTGTGCATGTACATAATGCCACTTAATTGAACACGTAGTAATGATTAAAATGGTAAAAGTTCCATTATATATATTTTACCAGCAAAATGTGGAAGTAGAAAGCAGAAAGGAAGCAGAAAATGAAGGAGTGCCTTCAAGTTTATGATCGATAGAAAGTGATTTTCAGTCTAGCACATTGTTATCTATCAAGTATGAGGGAGAATAAAGACTTTCATAGACATGAATGGCCTTGGAAGCTACTGGAGGACGTGTTCCATCGGATCTGGAAAGCGAACAAAGAAAACCAGGGGTGATGAAGAACAGGACTCCTCTCACAGCAGAGAAGGGAAGGTGGACGTTCTCAGCACGATGGTGAAGGACGTCCCCAGTGACAGCTACTTGGAGGTCTAGAGAGTACCCTACTCCAGCTAAGATGGAAGAGAGGGGAATGCCACCAGTGAAAACATAGAAGTGTTGGATAAGTGAGAATGTCTGACCAACTGACAAGGTGGATCTGTCTCAGAGCTGGAGATGAATTCCATGCATAGAAAACAGAGGGGTTGTCAACTCCAGGGAAACAAAAGACATCACTAAGAAAAGAAAGGTAGGCTAGGTGTGGTGGCTCATGCCTGTAATCCAGGCACTTTGAGATACTGAGGCAGGTGGATCATTTGAGGTCAGGAGTTCGAGACCAGCCTGGCCAACATGGTGAAACCCTGTCTTCACTGAAAATACAAAAATTAGCTGGGTGTGGTGGTGCATGCCTGTAATCTCAGCTACTTGAGAGGCTGAGGCAGGAGAATTGCTTGAAACCAGGAGACAGAGGTTGCAGTGAGCCAAGATCTTGCCACTGCATTCTGGCTTGGGCCACAGAGTGAGGCTCCGTCTCAAAAAAAAAAAAAAAAAAAGGGAAAGAAAAGAAAGGTAATCACAGGACATGTACAGCTCAGCTGTGGGGAATATTTACAGTGTCTTAAATAAGTGAGCCATCCAAGTCAATGGGTAAGGTGGAGATGTGGAATTATTCCTTCTGTAAAACAGTTTACTCATTGTGAGAGCCATTAGATCATTGTCAAAGAACAAAGGCAAAAACAGGCTTTCTAGGAGAGAGGAAGAAGACAGAAGAGAGCAAAACTGCAGAGGAGTTGACATTCTGGAACAGAGCTGGCAGCCAGCAGGTGTCTATCTTGACTCTAACTGAGCACGTGCTCCTCCTTCACTGGGAGTCTGGGGAGGGGAGGCTGCGTGTATTCAGATAGTGACATCAGAGTTAAGTTCTCACCTTAGAAAGTGGGAAATCAATCCAGAGCATCTAAAATGGACAAGCCAAGGACCAGCAGGGGAATGGACCAGGTTACAAGCCTCTTTGGGGATGACCTGGGGAAAGCCACAGGGCAGCCCTGCTTGAGAACCCTGGACTGTGTACGTCACAGGACCGGTACTCCTCTCTGTGTAACTCTGGGCACGACTTCCCATCTTCGAGAGCCAGCATCCTCCCCTGTAAACGAGGAGGCTATTGCTTATGTGCAGGGTCACTGAGAGCAGCATATGCACAGCAGGTGCCTAGCGTGGTACTGAGCACATTAGTAAAGTCTTGACCCCCTGAGCTGCTGCTGTTATTAATATTGGCACTTCCTGCCATAGGGAGTGCTATGCTGGACAAGGCCTACACCTGAATGGAGAAAACAAATTTTTTAGGGGCCAATTCCTGTTGGCCTGAGCCAACTCCATCTTTTCCTCCTTGGTGGGGGGGGGGTCTTTGCAGGAGTAAAAGAGCAGGACTGCGGGGAGAGGTCGACTTCTCGTTCTTGCCCTTTGCAGTCACACCAAGGAAACCTGTAGATGTGACTGGAAGAGGAGGAACAGTAGCTTGGTAATAGGAGGAATTTCTCATTCAATCCTTCAAGTAAACACTGAGTGCAAACTTGGGCTGGGAACTGACCTGAGCTCGCCAGTGGGGTGGGGGCAGGAGAAGATTCCAGTGTGCAGAGATACGGGTGTGCCTGGGTGAGGCTGCAGCTGAGACCTGGGGGGCGTGCATGGGAATGGAACGTGACCTTACAGCCTGGCTTCTGCTAATTAGGAAGGAGGAGGAGGAGGAACTGGAGGAAAAAAAGAAGGATGCGGAGCAGGAGGAGGCAGGAGAGGAGAAGAAGGGTAAAAGAGGAAGACAGATGAGGAAGACAGGAAAGAGATGGGAGGAGAAAGAAGGAGGAGGAGGGAAAGATGGCTTCTGGTTTCTGTGAGCTGTGTGTGCTTTTCCCCCAGACTATTTTGAAATATTGAAAATGGTTCTAACACCCCCCTGCCTAATCCCACTTCCACTCAGAATGAAACTTCAGAGATTTTCAGGGTTGAGAGTCAACCAACCCCATCTGGTTCTTTTTTTTCTTTTTTTCTAAATGGAGTCTCGCTTTGTCACCCAGGCTGGAGTGCAGTGGCCTGATCTCAGCTCACTGCAACCTCTGCCTCCCAGGTTCAAGCAATTCTCCTGCCTCAGCCTCCCAAGTAGCTGGGATTACAGGTGTGGGCCACCACACCAGGCTAATTTTTGTATTTTTACTAGAGACAGCATTTGGCCATGTTGGCCAGGCTGGTCTCAAACTCCTGACCTCATGTGATCCGCCCACCTTGGCCTCCCAAAGTGCTGGGATTACGGATGTGAGCCACTGAACCCGGCCTCCCATGCTGGTTCTAAAGGAAGAAGAACTTAGTTAGGTCCTGGGAGAACTGGTCAAGTTACCTTCTCAGTTTTTGTTTGTGAAATACCCATCATAATTTTTACCTCCTGTCAGCTCATGTTGAAAATGGATTCGCCATGGTTCAGTGACCCGAGGGTGCAGGAGTGAAGTGCCCATGGTGGGGAAAGCAGGGCTGAGTCATCTTGGGAAGGACTTGGGCTGTGCACAACCTCAGTTTTTCAGACCTGTAAAATGGGGATTCTAGACTTTCTTTTGTAGATCTTCTCAAGGGCGTGTACACGACAGGCATATAACGGCCCAAGACACAGCTGCTACTACTGGTAGTTATTATTGTGATATAAATAGTGTAAAATATCATGGGCTGATAGTTATCATTTTATAATAATATAAAATAATTTTAATATTAGTGATAATTAAATTTCCTTTTGTAGAGACAGGGTCTTGCTCTGTCCCTACAAAATTACAGTGGTGCAATCATAGCTCACTGCAGCCTTGAACTCCTGGGTTCAAGCGATTCTCCCCACTCAGCCTCCCAAGTAACTAAGACAACATTTGTGAGCCCCTGTGCCCAGCCAATGATAATCATTAATAGTGACAGTAGCATAAAATTAGTGCTCTGGGGGGGGGGGGGGGGGAAACTACCCCTAGAACCTGAACTCCTAGTACCCACTGTTCGGTGACATTTCTTGTTGGTAATGTGACATTTCAGAGTGTAGCCATTCTGCCTCCTCCTACTGTCTCATTTGTCTCTGCATCCAGTGCCTTCCATGATAGCAGGCACACAGCAGGTGCTGGATAAATGCTTTTCAGTGACTGGATTCCTTGTATACAGTTGTCCTCAGTAAAGACTTGGGGAAGGAAAAGCAAGCTGCATTCTTGCACTGTGTTGATGGACAGCTGGGCAGGGATCATACTGAGTTTCATGAGCAGCTCCTTCCCTGCCTGCATCTCTATCCAGGGAGGACGCAGGGAGAGGTGCCCTGGTGGGGAAAGGGGAAAGTCCTGGCTCTTGCTTTACACTTTGGAGAAAGGATTCTTGGCACAAAGTGACTGGGCCAGAAATGAGCACGGGAAGCAATTTCCCTGAGATCAAAAAGCAACCCAATAACATACTTAAATGTGAAAGGAATGAAAATACATACATTTAATAGAGAAGAAACCATTTGATAATTTTTACATCATCAAAGGCCTTTCTAACTATGACCCAAAATCCATAAAAGAAAAAATGCATAACATAGAATCCACAAAACAACAAGCAAACAAATAAAACTTTTTTGTGGCTGGACATGGTGGCTCACGCCTGTAATCCCAGCTCTTTAAGAGGCTGAACAGGTGGATCACCTGAGGTCAGGAGTTTGAGACCAGCCTGACCAATATGGTGAAATCCCATCTCTACTAAAAATACAAAAATTAGCCTGACATCCTGGTGTGTGCCTGTAGTCCCAGCTACTCAGGAGGCTGAGGCAGGAGAATCGCCTGAACCC